GTCCGGGTTTCTTGCAAAAAGAAGTTCCCCTGTGACCGCAGACCTCTCCCTGCGGACACAGTCCAAGAAGAAGACGTGGACCACATGCGATGACCCGTTCCTGCACCACATCGAGGCCCATGGGCTAACTCTAAGTTAGTTATAGGAAGCAAGAGAGGCTGTTAGGTTTAGGTTTAGATTAGGTTAGTTAGGTTAAGTTAGATTAAGTTATATACGATGGCATATCTTAAGTTACATAGAATGTTAGACACTCTAACGATGTTAGATTTAAGAACCCTTAGATAAGTAGCAGTAGGAAGTTTGTAAACTTAGCTGATAATAAATATGTTCAAATAGTAGCATATTACATCGTAGGCTGATTGAGTTCATTATTATTACCTACGTTTTTTAGTCAAACTACTTTGTGATTTCCAGATTTTTATTACTCATGTTTGTTATCTGTTTACTACCGACTTTACTATTTTCTCATATTTCATACTTTCTTCAGATTTAGGCCACTTCGAAGACTTCATCAATCGAGCTTAACCTCATACATCAGATATTCTGAAGAAAAATACAAAAGTTGTTAAAGCCATATAGCAATCATAGCATTCTCAAGCTCTCGTTCAAGCATTTAGTAATTTAGATGTCTTTCAAAAATTATGAACATGGAATTCTTCACGTACTACTATACTGGTGTGGCGTGCTGTTTCTCTTCTGCACGGATTTTCCTGTCGGTTGTTTTTCCCTCATTTAAAACGAAAACATATATCCAAGCAAATAAACTTTAATGCGGAAAGTTTCTCTGCAATCTGAGTGGAGCTTGAACCGCCACGTATTGCGGTTATTTAAACTTAGTCAATTCACCACCATTAGTTACGGGCAGCTTGAAACATTTCCGCTGATATGCAGATTGGCTTTTGTTGCAAGTTCTTTCATACATTTCGTTTTCTGGATTATTCAGTAGGAATAATAAGACTTTTGTGTAGGATGGTTTTGATTTTCGCTTGAAATAAGTTGAACTTCTTGCATTGGTGTTTAATATTTCATTGTGAATTGAATTTTTAGCAATCCTCCAACTTTGTACCATGTTAATAGATTAAAAAAACGCAGGTTTTGACGTTTTTTACTTACTTTATTTATTTTTTATTTATTTTACGTGAAGAAAATTGCCATTCTACTAATGGCATTAATGGAGCTTTCGCACCTTTAAACCCAGTGAGACACAACTTAGTGGCTCATAAATTGAAGCATAATAGAACCAACCGTAACTGCTCAAACTTTTGTATGAACAAGAACAAAGAGCAAATATTTTGTAACTATACTTGTACATTATTACTGAAAGTTCAGTTTTCTTACGAATTGACATTTATATTAAGTTAAATATTCAGCGCATGTCGCCGTAGTCGACGTGAAAAGATGGTACGCCTTGAAAGTCAGATATTTATTCTTTGCTTTCGGAACTCAGCTAACAAATTAACATTTCAGACATTATTGTATATGAATTTTTCCCCTACGAACACACTGCTGTATTCATATTTATTTTGTTCTATGGAGTGACACAGAGTACATTCGACAGAACTAAAACAACTTTTTCCCGTCATCGTGCGAAACTAATTATTTACAATACAAGCCGCCGTTTCCATTTGTTCGTATTGAAATAGAAAATAAGGTCACGTTCAGTGTGTATGTGACACTAATAGCGTCACAAAATGATAAAGCCCGTGGACTTCTAGGCCGCACTATTCATATGGAACGAAATCAATACTACTAACATAATTGTCATATTTGAAAACACACATGGAATTGAGACTATTAATTTCTATACCTCCATCATGCGGACACACTAATGAGGTCCGCAACTCGGTTTATGACGCCGTCTTCATTCGAAGGTTGGAAAACCCAGTGGTTTCCAGATCCATCCAACTAGTGCTCGTTGGGCAAAGAAACATCGCGGGATCTTTGTTACCCTGCAGCTGCTCCCAACTTCACCCACGGTTCAGTAACTCACTCTTAATCACCTTGGTCCTTCGAAAGACGCAAATTCCGCAACGAAACACTACAATTTGGTCCTGCGAGCTGAACCATTTAGGTAGACCCTACAGTACTACCAAATATTATAGCCTATAGATATAGTCTATATAGTATATACTTATATAAGACTAGAGTATAGACTATATAGACTACAGTCTATAGTATTTGGTACTACTAATTAGTGTTGCGCAACAGCATGAAATTTCCGCTGCAATTTCCGCTGAAGTAATAAATCTCCATTAAAACCGATGCTTAAAGTTGAAATCCTACCAGAAATACTCACATGCTGGAAAAAACAGTGTAGCATCATAGCAGCATCAGTCAAAGAAAGCAGTATATCGAAGGGAACAAGGAAGTTGTAATTTTTTGTTACATGGGGAAGAAAATCATAAAAATGTAGCTAATTTCCAATAACACCGAGGTAAAAGATAAAATAAAGGAAAATGTAAAAACAACACTGAAATGAGTAAATTGTGTCAGTTAAGTGCTAGAACAAATATTTCTACTGCTACTAGGACATCAGATTTATTGAAAATGCCTCGACAATTTATTTTCGAATGAAGAGATGTGCGATATGCGGTTTGTGTTGATGCGCTAGAAATTTTTAAATGCTGGAGAAAACTTGAGAGGAAACATTAGATTTTGCCAGCAAAAAATATATTTTTAAAACCCAAGAAATGTCTCATGTTTTCAACGATCATTTTATGTTTATTTTGACCCTGTACGTCGGAATCTGTTAGCTTTCGGATAAGACAAATTTGCATGAACACAATTTTTTTCCTAAACAATATGACAGTGAAGTTTGGCACATTAGCTCAGGGCCACCCTGTGTAGATATTGTAAGTATACAGAAAACATAGATTTTAAAATTTGTGAATTTTTTTCAACTGCGTCGCTGTGATGTCGGTGTGTTAAACAAAATGGTCATCATATCATTTTTAGCTTCCTTATGGAAAAGTAAATTATTTTAATGAATGAAAGTGTTCGAAAAGTGCATTTTCCCAAAAAACATCATCAGACATTATTGTTAGTTAAGGGATTATCTGTGAGAATATACAGGGTGAATGTAAGCACATGATCAAAAGGGCACAGATACAATTTATCTTAGTAAAAGTTAGATCAGATTGTCTTCTTTTGCTCCAAATAAAATCGCAGTACCCTTTTGATCGAGTGCTTACGGGACACCCTGTATATTCTTAACCTCGAACGCGAGGGCGCATAAACTAAAAAATGAATGAAAATATATATTTTGGCATAAATTCAGTCAATAAAATCCCTTTTTTTTAATATTTTCCGCACATCGATTACTATTGTATATTGTGCTCTGTTCGTGTTAGTAGTGTTAGTGTTGTACTATAGATCTCACTACCCATTTAAAGGAAATTTAAAAATCTAAATTCTTCTGCAAAAATGTATATGATAAAATATATTGGTGAATTTTAAAAAATAGCAATGTCCCAAGACCTGCTTTTTTAATTTCAGATGTCCTAATATGGGTCAGCCTTGGATGCTCTTACGTGCAGCTGCAATATTACTGGTTACAAGACAAACTCTGGCCCTGTCCGACATGTAAGTCAATTAAGTCTTGATTTAGAACACGTCGAAATTGAAAACTTTCTAATTCGATCATTTAGAAGCCAATAAATTGAATCGGCTGAATGACACATGTTGATGTGGCTGTTTTACGAATTTCTATGCTTCTAATTAACTATTTTCTGTTTTTTTCTTCAGTTTTGAAGAGGGAAAATCCGACAAGGAGATCCTAGATAATCTCTTAAGAGCCACCCGGTATGACAAAAGGCTACTGCCGCCAGTAAGAGGTACGTTTCATTATGTATAATATTTTTGTCTTTATTTACTTTTGAAAATAACGGTAAATTCGACAGAACTTGTTCTCACCAATCCGCCATTCTAGAAAAAACATCCCTTCCAAATGTCTGTTAATGGAAATAACATCAATAAATTCAAATTGGTATTTATATAAAAAAATTATTAATGTTAAGCTACTTCCTTTGCGTTGCTGCTTGTATGCATTTATTGAACTGTAATGTTAGTTAATTAGTCATCAATTGGACACAACCTGTCGAGCTTAATTATGTTAGAGCTTCATTTCACTCGCCTTTGTAGTCAAAGCTTAATATTATAGAACGGTAAGTTTATTAATAGCGGCGAGGGCTAAGTCCTGCCCTTACCAAAGCATTGCTGTTGCAGATGCGGACTTCTGCTGTGGCCTGCGATCGCCAGAAGATGCGAATAATGATGACCGAAACATCCGACTAAGCGGAAAACAGCGGGGTCCGTTATTTATTTATTTATTTATGTTTCTAGTAATATCAGCTAGATTATTCTTCCTAGAGCAGATTGCACCGCAGTTAAAAGCTTGCATTTATTTTAACATCTATCTTCCGTAACAACTTTTTTTTACAAAGAAGACTTTCAAACCTTCTCTGACCCCAGTGACACCTACATTAAAATAAATTCTTCGTCCCAAAACACGTTATAATTTATTTAATTATTTTTATGGTTTGTTGAGAGATTAGTTAAAGTCTATTTGCTGACCTGTTTAGTTAAATGCATCATTGCACCAACATATAAAATACTATAATGAAATGTTTGCATAATCTGAATGTAGTTTAGCTTCCAAGAAATGGGCATGAGTCATTATTGTTTACCTTAGTAATGAGAAAATTCTTATGGAATTCTTATAAACCACTTATCATATTTAGATTTATACAGGGCGATTCAAAATTGGCGCCATTTCTGTGCGGGTGTTGTCTGGGGTTTCTTAGGGAGAACAGGAAAAATAATAAAATAAATGAATTCTTATAAAAAACTTAGATATTTGCAAAAAAAAACTAGATAACAAAGTTGGTAGCAATGTTTTTCAACGTAATTTACCTCATTAACATTGCCACACGTAAATACCTGTTGCTTCTTAAACATCAAATGCTCAAGTGGCCATAGATAAACGCAGAAAGTGAGGTTAAGATGCCAATTAAATAGGTTAAAGTTAGGGTCGACGAGGAGAAAATTTAACGGATTTCAACACTATCTCCTATAAAAGGCTATGGATCAATGAGGTGTTCCAACTTCTGCCCGTTTTACCCCAAACAGGTTTTGGCCCATATTGGCCACCTTATGGCCGCTTTGATTTTCATCAAAAAATTGTAAAAGAGTATCTACTTCTTTATTTGAAAGGTTTGCATAATTTGAAGGAAAGATACAAATTTTCCTTTTCGAATTCTTAAATATTCAAATAAGCTTCCAATCAAACATGAGACCATTTCAAAATAATACTTATTAACATACTAGAAGTTATATTTTTAACTTTTTTGTCAAATTTTTCTCGTACTCTCCAAGTGAGTCCATATAACCCTTTGAAAGGAATGACGCCAATTTTGAATCACCCTGTATACTAAGTGTTACATGTGAAATAAAAATAAAAAATTTTGAGGTCCTAGTTTGGAAGGAATTTATAATCGTATTAATACGAGTAGTAATTCGAAAGTTGGTAACATCATCAATTTTATACGAGTAGAAAATTCTAAAAATGTCATTCACTCACCGGTGCAAAAAGTAGAAATAATTCAGTTCCTACCTCTTTTCAGCTTTGTCTTAGAATCTTGTTTCTAATGCTATCCAAACACGGATGTTTTCAGTTCTCAAAAGATGATTGTATGCTTGTTACATTTGATTTATGTCCACAAGTCACATTTGATTTATGTGCATTTAAATGCTGGATAAAATTCCAAAATGTACTTTCGTGAGCATTTCTATTTGGTTGCTCATATTTTCAATGTTTATTGATTTTGATTTATTGCAATTTTTTTACTCATATTTTTTGCGGTTTTTAATATTTCTCGACTAACGTTGAATCTACTACCACCAATAGCTTCGATTAGACAAAGAATATTGTACTTTTCGTCTACTCATTTATCACCCGATCCTTGTTTTGTAGATCTGTCAGCAGGTTGGTCTGATAACAATGGATTTATTACTAATATACATAATTGTCGTTGATTGATCCTGTTATAAGACTGTAAAAATCGACAGTTTTTTAAGTATTAAAAACTTTTTGTATGAGAGACGCATGTTATTACTTTTCTAGTTTCATATATTGACCTGTTCAAGTTCCAAGCTGATAGCGGTTTAATTTTTTGCAAACCCGCAGCTTTATTAAAGCCTCTAAATCTGCTAGCAAACCTTCCAAAATCTTCATTTAATAGAAATCCGCAATCCAGAATGATAAAATTAATGAAACTAGATTATGAACCGGTACAACTGAAATAGTTCTAAGAAAACTTAAAAATTAAAAAATCGCTTTGATTTCTCACAGCTAAATGGAGCGTGTGCTGCTGTTTGTTTTCCGTCATTAACCAGTTATAAATCACCGTGTTCCAATTTAAAAACGCTTTTAGGGTTTTTTTGCGTCATGTCTTAAAAACCCATTGATGGACTGAAAATCCCATTAAATTTCTGGAATACCTGTTGGATCGATTTGCTCTACCTTTTAGAAATTTTGTATTTGAAAAACAAAAAAATATCTCTAATGTTCAACAATATTTGCTTACATAAATAAAGCGGTGGATAATTACGCAACTAAAAGCAAATAACTGATTTGACAAACTTCTATTTATGAATCGATCTACTGTTTTACTGCCATTTTCAATTTGCTAATTTGTCAACTATTAATGCAAAGACTAAGCAAAGCATTGCAGCGTTTTTTATTTTTTATTTTTTTAGATTTCTAGAAATGTTATAGATTTCTATAAATTTTTGGTATATCAAATTGTGATTCCAAAACAAAATATATATACAGGCTGGTTTTTTTATCTTGAGACAGTTAAATATTTCGGAAACGAGTAATGTCTAGGAAAAAATGTTTCAAATAAGAACTTAATATTTGGGAAGGGAAAGTTTATTCGTGCCAGTGCTGCTTGTATTTTCTTTAATTCCGAGTATTCGTCCCCTTGCTTTATCCGGAAATACCGTCATACATATAAATATGTATGACAGCAACAGCGTTGAATATTGGATAGGTAGGAACAGTTGAAGTTTGTGTCCCAAGCCTTCATGCCAGACCCTGTCGAAGGCCTGGGCAACGTCCAAGAATATTGTAGAACACACTTTTTTTATGTTTTCTCGATAACAATCGTCATTCGATGAACCTGGTCAATTGTGGAGTGCTGACTCCAGAACCAAAATTGATGTGGCGGAATGAGGTTTTCTCTTTCTATAATTGGTGTTATTCGCTTTAAAAGAAGGTTTTCATAAAGTTTAGACACAGTCGGTAAAAGTGATATGGGCCTATACGATGATGCTTTGTGGAGTGCTTGCTACACTTAGGTACCATGATAACTTCAGCAACCTTCCACAATTGAGGAACATATTTTAGTCCAAGTGATGGGTTGATCAGGTTTGTAAGTTTCACTAGACCTTTCCTCGGAAGTTCCTTGAGGATCAGGATTAAGTCAAATCCCGGAGCCTTCTTTGGATTTATGTTTTCTTTGATTTCTATTTTTACCTCCGCTACTGTGGTTAATGGAATCTCTTCACTTTCCTGGTTATCTATAGTGGGTAGAGCCGCAGTACTGTCTATTGGATTTGGTTGAGAGATTTTATCAAGGTGTTGGGCAAATCTAAATGCTTTCTGCTGATTATTTCTGGTCCGGCTGCCGTCCATGTTTCTGTTTGGGGGCATGGGAATTTTTATATTTTTTATTGTTTTCGATAGTGAATAATCAGTACTGGCATCATTTGTTAGTTTCTTCAAATATTCGCTAATGGTGTCATTCTTAAGCTGCTTAATTTCTTCTTTTAATTGAGCGGTGAGATTATTTTTCCTTTTTTTTATTAGTAGTTTTATTTTGCGAGGATCTGGTGTGTTGCCATTTTTTCTTGAAAAATATGAGTTTCAAAATTGACGTTTTCAGTCAACTGCGATCTTGTCTTGAAAAAATCATGTCGTCAAATCAAAACGAGAAGTTGAAATTTCTATCATCTTTAGCCGATACGTAACTGTAAAGACGGTGAAAGTTTCGTAAAAATCTTAGATAATCTGGCTATTTGTTAGCTTGATACAGTTGAGTCTCAAAATTGATGTTTTAGTCAACTGTGCCTCGCCCTAAAAAATAGTATCTTCCAAGGGAAAACAAGAAGCACCATGAAATTTTCACCATCTTGAGAAGACACTTTTTTCTAAAGGTGCGTTGAGTGTCATAAAAATTGCTGAGAATCGTGCGTTTTTTCAGCTTGATATAGGTAAGGCTAGTGTGAGGTGAGTCACAAAATTTAAGTTTTCAGTCAACTACACTCTTATTTAAAAAATCACATTTTTCAAATTAAAGCATGCAGCAATTTGAAATATTCATCATTTTTAGAATCCAATTGCATCTAAACATGTTAGGAGTTTAAAAATTATGTATGATATTCAAAAAGTTCTACAATTGAGCAGGAGTTCAATTAGTTTTGAAAATATGCCCTGGGCCTCCTGGAATAAGAAATAAGGCTGATATAAGGAATAAACAACATATAGACACATTCAACTTATTTATTAATTAACACTGGTATTATACTTGAGCTTTCAAACCACATTTCCCCTTTCCAGATTGTGCACACTTCCAAAACATTAGCATGGCTCTTATCTTGACAACGCAGCTTCCTCTCTACATATGTTTAAAAATCGGAGTGGAATAAAACCGAGTTATTATGAAAACAAATCCACCCAATTTATCAGGCAACTTTAATGAATGGCTTACGTATTAATGTGTGTGGATAGGAAGCCAAGTTTTACGTGATTGGCTCACTTTGTTATGTGATGTTAATATTGTCTCTATTTTATTTATTACTATGCTGCCTGTTGTACAGTGTAATAGAACAACAGTATTGTTGGGAACATTTCTACACGCAATTATGAAATAACCTGAAGTGAATTGAAAAAAATTATAATTATTTGAATTTGGATGAACTGAAAACCTTATGAAACCTTATTTGAATCTTTCCATGCGCCTGAAGACTGCTCTCGGGCTCAATAGGTTATTTTGTACGTTCCCTTGCACATTTTGTATGCACATTGTTTTCGGTCTTGGTTTCCTATTATGGTTCTATTAGATTTTTTGTTTGCAGTTGTTGCACTTATCATAAAAAGACAGCTGTTAAATATTCTCGTATTTGATTTAACCATTTGGGATTTTCATAGAGAGATCTTCATTTGGGCTTATTGCTATAGGTAGTACTTAAACTCCCTGCAGTGTCGATAAATTGTGATCCCTCACACAGTATGGCACATATTTTGCAGGTAAATTATGTAACTCAAAAATTGGAAAGGCGCCTAGTTGCATAATAGAATATGGCTGATAAATATTCAATCTTTTAGGAAGGTCGAAGTTTTCAGGAACTATTTGCTACATTTTAAAGAGATATTGACTTTCCAAAGCCAACAAGTGGACTTGAAAAGCACTTTTTAAAATTAATTAAATGAGAAACATAATTAGGGTACATAATGGTTTAAATATCCAATGAAGTTCTATCTAATTGATCTGCTTGGTAATAAACCTCCAGAACTTCTAAATCTCACGCACATAGTTTGCGGGTTGACTTGAAATCACTTGTGTATAAAATCCGTTTCGACAAACTTGCAGAAATTATTATTTACAAATGTCGATCTGTCTATAGGGAGGCGTTCGAAAACCCGCAAGTGGCTTATTGGTCTTTTAAAGTCATCCGAATCTAGAGTGGGGAGAGTTTAATTTAAAAGTAATGAACTTTCACAACAGGAATCAATTGATCCCTAAACTTCAGGGTTTAAAAAAAGTCTACTAAAGGCCAACCATCATTATAAATTTGTTGCCATTTTAATATTCTCTATAGATTGTCATGTTTTATTCAAGTATTTATAGCAAGAAAGAAGCAATGTTTCCATTTTTATTAAAATTCAGTGGAAGAGGATTTGTTTGGAATTTAAATTGCATTTTGCTCACAAAACACTTTAAACGTATTTTTGTCGTTTACTTCCTTCGCTCTCTAAAGTGTTTCATAGAGATGTTTCCATTTGCACAAATGGGATGAATTCATTCTTTAAAGCCTAAGAATAGCGGTCTAATTGTTGCAGTAGATGCTGGCAAGTGTACATTATCCAGGAAAGTTAACGGTCTCGAATTTAAAAATATGTAAAACCCCTTAAATGCTTTTTTACCTGTATGAAAGGGTACATCGGTCTCAGATTTGTCCAATCTTACAATGTCAACATCTTAGCGGTGTTGGCTCACCCCTTCCTATTTCGTGCTTAAAAAATGTATTTTAAAAATTTTTCAAAAATGGAAAATACATTCCATGAAAATATATAAAATTGGAATGTTTATTGAAAATGTCTGCCAGTCTCCTCCATGCAATAATACAGCAGTTAGTCAAAATGCCCTTTAAAAAATAATCAGGAGAAAGTAAATCTGGCGATCTTGTAGGCCATTCAGACAAAATCTTACACATGAAATATGTTCCCTGAAGGGAAATGCATAGGCCTCTAAACGATGTGTTTTATTTGTTTTGTCTTTGCTTGTATAAGTCTTAGAGCCAATACCGGACTTTTAGTCATAAATAGACAATTTAAATAGACGTATTTAACTGTTTAAATAAACAATATTGTATACAATTGATTCCGGCAAGTGTTTAAACGTTTTTCCTTTTCAGGCTAGATCTTAGTTATTGTTTAGTGATGAACCGAATCATGTTTCAGTGAAAACGTCAGGAAGGTTATTCAATACGTCGACATTTTCTTCATACAAACGGTTACATTACATCAAAACATTTTCTTATTATAATAATTATTTCATGTTCCTTTGATAAAATTATTCTATTTATATGCAGAAATGATAGTTTATTGCAATATTGACAAATTTGACCAAGAAATGGGACGTGAATCGTAAAGAATACAAGAAGAGATTTCCAAATGGCACAGTGTTTATTCAGCAATCATTCTCCAACATTGTGCGCCGTCTTAAAGAAACAATTTAGAAATATATTGGTTGTGCTCGTGGACTCGACTCACTCGTAAACCGTAAAAGTTAAAGAGCAAATCTCAGACAGCGTTAGAAGCGTTTGTTTTGTTGGAAATTTTCAAAATTTCTCTGTACGTTGTATTTACCAGAAAACCGAAGCACAGCAATTAGAAATTGTGTATTTGATCAACTTATTTGTCACAAAAATCCGAATATAAGGATACTAGCCCAAAATAATAAAGATTTAATCATCTCCTCATTCTTTTCTACTTATATACAGGGTGGTTTTTAGTGCGAAAGAGTCCATTATTTCCGTTGGGGTTGAACTTTCGAGTTTCATATAAAAGTTGTTGACGCACAAAGTGCGCACATTTTAAAATTATTTTATATGATATAGTTTGTCTCAGAAAAGCAAGAATCGGAACAAGCTGTTTTAACGACTCCAAGCAGCCAAGCGCGGCAATACGGGCGGGAGCAAAATTAGGTGCACTTTTAATGTTTTACAAGGGCACTCAGACGTCAAAATTATTATCCAAACATATAAAAATGTCCAGGAGATTTCACCGGTAAAATGGAAAACATTACTTAAAAAATACTCAGATAATTTATGCGCATTCATTGATCAGATATGCAAATATTCAAGAAATTTTACAAGATAAAAAAATAGATAGGAAAAATACAACAAAATACTAACAAAGGATTTTTTTCTTAAATAGCAACCAACGTATGAGAGTGATTTTACAATATGTGATGACGTACAAACAGAAACTATAATACATAGATGCGAATTTTAAAAAAAATGTAATGCTGTATTTTCAGTTGGACATTTTGAACCTCGACGATTAATTAATTCAGCATAAAATTTCATCGATTAGAAACTTTAGGAAGAAATAATTGAGACCAATAATCCAATTTTTTTATAGTTAATATATATTTTCATTTCTCCTTTTCAGGTTCTCTTACCGTCAATGTCAGTGTTCTTTTGCTCAGTCTAGCTTCTCCGGATGAGTCTAGCTTGGTAAGTACATATAAAAATAACATATCTAAGTCAAGATAATTTGGGTAAAATTAGGCAATATTAATTGCGGATTTTTTGTAGCTTTCTCAGTTTAAATCTTAATGTATTTTCTTACAATTTTCAGAAATATGAGGTAGAATTTCTCCTACAGCAGCAGTGGTACGATCCGCGGCTGCGATATTCGAACCAAAGCGAATACAATTACTTAAATGCAATTCACCATCACGACGATATCTGGCTACCAGATACCTACTTCATAATGCATGGAGACTTCAAAGATCCTCTAATTCCGGTGCATTTTAGCTTAAGGATATATCGAAATGGAAGCGTCAATTACCTAATGAGGCAAGTCACTCAATTTATAGCACTTACTGGTGAATAAGAGGTTCTGAAAGCAATGTCAAAACTCTTAAAATAATAAAGTTACTCGCTGAGACAATTTTGAACTAAAGACCCCTAACTTAAGTGTTTAAAAATTAATTGGTATCAACAACTCAATCGATATTTAGACCTAGAATGTTAAACTTCTTGGCTCGTGCTTTAAATCAATCTGTTCACATTCTGTAGTTGTTAGTATTAAAAAATGAAGGTGATAGTATTTTTAGACCCAACAATGATTCTATCTGCCAACGTTTACTTTTTAAACATTTTTTAAATACCATTATATAATGTAGGTACAAGTCTCCTGTGTCTACAAGTGCTAAAAGAAGGAAATGCACAAAATGGTATTATGTACGTTAAAAATTAATTCCAAAATTTATTAGTGATATGCAGTTCCTGTGCAAAAACACATCAGTATCAACACCTAACGAATTGCATCTTTACGCTTCAACAAGAAAATAGTGAAAGATAACATCTAATCTAATATTACTGAACGACCGTATATTAATGCCTAAGAAGAGAAAGATTATGCGGAAAAATGCAGAAGCGAATAATAACCACAGCAATTTAAAGAACGCGGCACGGGCACAGTGATTATTGGGTGTGATTTTATATATGGATTTTCTAAAACCACTTTATTATTTTAAGCGAACGAAAAATACGCGAATAACTTTCTTTTCTGTTACCTCTTTGAACAGTGATTAATTTAGTGTTTCCTTAATGACTAAAATTAAATCAATAGAGCATTTTAGTTATCATACTCTCTTAAATTATGGAATTAATTATTGACTGCATTATTAATCAATATCTTATCACCGTCTGTTGCAAAATGACCATCGTTTGCGTGAACACTTTCACATGTATTTTCGGACGATTATGAACCAGATAAATCAATTTCAGGGCTTGTATTAAGTACCTAATTTTTTGCAACATCGACCCTTATTGTTAGAGTGTTCACCACGCAATTTCTTAATTAACTGGAAAATTGGCCTTTGTTTCTTCGGCATAGTACAGCTAATTTTAACACAAATTAATTTCCAAGCATGCTCTGACCTAATAAAATTATTAATTAATTTCGTTTCCAGGAGACACTTAATACTCTCCTGTCAGGGAAGCTTAAACATATTTCCATTTGATGACCCAAAGTGTACGTTTTCAATGGAAAGCAGTAAGTACCAGATTTAACGATTTTATTTTACTTTTAAACTTACAAGTCACTTACATATACTATTATGCTGTTGCATCGATGTGATATCTATATTGGTCACTTAAAAGTTTTGCAGATAAACTTAAGATTAAATCTTTTAAATCTTAAATCTTTTAATAAACAATATATGTCATCCAAAAGCAAGTAATTCGATAATAAATAAGGACATGTTCAAAAAAACGTTCACAATGTGTTTTTTAATGGCGCATTTTTTCAATCAATACTAATACTTTATACAGGGTGTCCCATGTGACAACGGTCATTGTCAACTTTCTTATTTGAAGTGAAACAAAAAGAGAATATTATTAGATTTGGAAAATAATTAGACTTCAGAATTTCAACTTTGTGTCCATTTATTATTTATTAATTTAATCATCAACTTTCTAATGTTTTTTGTTATATTTCTATCTTCTTACATCATCAAACGATGAAATCGACTTAAAATGAATGTTTGAAATGTATACTGTGGTTATAAACCATTTACTAACTACGAAGCAATTAAGCGACAGTATAATTTATTACTTATTAGTTTTGTAACCATTTTGAGTCCTAGGCCCGATTTATGTCAGATATCCTTCGGAAAGAATGACCAAAAATAAACTTTTGAATTGGTAAACTATTTTATAGGTACAATAAGAATGAATGAAATGAATTGAAATTTTTTTTAAATGTTCAGTTTCAAACTAAACAGAGTTATAATTTTAATACTGATATTTTATGAAGATATTAATTACCGTTTGTATGTAGTATCCTACGAGATCACATCGATAAACTACGTGTGGAAAAATGACGAAGATGTTCTTAGGAAGTCGCCAAGTCTAACGACGTTGAACGCTTATCTAATCAACAATCAGACTCTTATATGCCCTATTCAGTCGAGTTGGAGGGGTAAGTAAGACTTTTATTTTATTATACGCTTCGGAACAGTAGTGTAACTTCGTAAAAAGAAATAATGTCGCCGACTGCAATCCATTGCGCCTGGAAAATAACATAGAAAACATCAAAGGTTGCTTTTGATGCACTTTTCTCTCTTTATATCTATCGAAACGGAACCACCTACAAACACGGAACATATATATTCTTCTGAGTACCTAGTAATTGATACTCGAAAACACCTTATGGGAATATAGTGGCTCCATTCCCGCCAACGCTATAAAGGGATTTAAAACGCTAAAATATATTATATTATATCTTGATCTTTATTTCGCTTCTCGTTATAATGATAACCACATTAACTAACTTTAATTCTTAATAAGTAATGTGTCTTATGTGCCTAATGTGTCCCTCTCGAATATAAAATTCACGTATCCGATGAATTTTCGCATACAAATTTATACATTGTTGTTACCTGTTTCGTATTTGATGGGCCACCGCGTATACTAACTCTATGGGAACTTTAAATTTAAGTTTGTAATTTTATTGTTTTACTTGACCAAGGTCTGCTTGCAAACAAGGGAACTGAATTAGCAGTTTAAAGTTATACTTATAAAATGTACTTTTTTCACTTTTCGTAAGAAATTTGAATGTTTGTCTACTACTTACTTGAGAAATAAATAATACTATAGCACCTGCAATTAAATATGCTCAGCATTCGGAAAGAAAACTGGAATAGCATAATGTTCAAGCAATATTTTCTTATGCTTTATAAATGAAATTCCACTCGGTTGTTAAAATTAAGTTGTGTTGAGTTACCATTTTATAAGTGAAATGATCATAAGTTCAAAGTCTTCAAAATTCAAAATCACTAATTCAACGAAACGTTTTATTGTTATCTATGTCCTACATTTAATTTTCACCTCATTTTTTCTGAGTTCAGGCCATATCGTCCAGACCCTCCGTTGCTAATTCCAAGAAGGTTAGAAGTAGAAAAAATTCTCATTTCATTCTACTGCAAAACATCTTCTTAAATATGTATTCCCTTTGCCTCATTTTTCGGCTGAATTTTACGCAAATCATCCCTTACTAAAATAATTTGTCAGAAATGAACCGATCCTTCCGCATCTTAAAAACGTAAGCTGAATACAAAACCCAATGATAAATGGAGGATTTCGTTTCGGAGACTGACAATGTTTAACTTAGCGGAAAAGTTGTGCTTCTCGGTTTCTTAATCATAGCTTCTATCAGTTGTAAAGCTAAATTTTTCCTGCAACCTAGTTTCGCATGTTCTTAATTATAGAACTAACTTTTTTGCCGCATGAAAATATTTCAATGTTAATTTTTAAGTGGATTAGTAAAACATTAGTGGTGGTTCAGTTTAGTTAGAGTTTGTAATGTCTATTAAAGTTATAAAAACTTCGAAATGTTTTAAAGATTGTTTATCGTTTCGTGTTCTGATATGAGGAACATTTTATTGTTTTTTTTTTGTGTTTGGGGAGCAATTGCCTAAGCTAATAAATTAATGAAAATTAGTATAACGCCGGTAAACTGTATACGTCGTAATGGAATGAAAGCGAAAATCGTTTAAAAACCTTAAAAACTATTTTCACGACTGAAGAGGTCACAATAACTCACTATGTCCCAAAGTTAAATAGTTTTGCAAATATAGAGTAATCGAGGATAGTTTTTGTTATACATTTAAACAGTGGATTCCAACTTCTAATCAATATTACGTATTTCATTTCCGTTATTATTATGTTTTCTACTATTGAGAAAATAGAATTATATTATTTCTCGTTCAGTTTTCCATACAAACCTCATACTCTTCGTTAATTTTAGTATCGTATTTATATTTGAGTATTTAATGTACAAGATAAATAGTTTCTAAAAGATTTGCTTGCAACATTTTGGCAAAAACGGAAAAATTTCAACTTCCACCTATTAGTAAGACTGTTTCAACTTTCGGTTGAGGTTTTCACGCTGAAACTTTTCAATATTAAAGAATCATAATTAATATTTTTATGCAATTTGTCTATGAAATCTTTAAGCCGAAATGTAAATCATTATTCTACTTTAAATTGGTCTTTAATTAAGTAATTGAAAAAAGTGTATATGAAGATAAGCAATATTGAAATGATCAAAGCAGCATTAATTATGCCTTAGAGTAGCAAATATGTTTGTTCCAATATGAGGATACAGTTGATTTAAGCAAAATTAAATATAGATACATATAGACTCGCAAAACCATCAGAACTAACCAAATCTCGGATTAAAATGTATTTTAAGTTTACGGAAGCAGAATTTAATTTTTTTCCAAAGTTACGATAACTTTGGTTAAACGTCACTTACTCACACTGAAATAAAACTCATACTCAAATAAGTAGTAATAATTTCGCAAGCGTATCATAGTATCGAGAGTGGACATTTCCGGCTTCTTTCAAAGGCAAATGTCTGGTGTATAATAGTAATAACCTTAGGCAAAAGTAAGTAAAAAGTAATATTTTTTGCGATGCATTCATTTTTTCGATATCAGCGTAGAGCGCTTTTCTTAATACGTTCCCTTTCCTTAAAACTACAAATGTTTCATATTATCTTACATAATTCAATTTGATTATACTGTCATGTAAGGGGATTTTTTTCATTTTATATCTTCTTTTGTTGTTCTACCCAATTTCATTTAACTTTCATTACAAATCTTGACTTAAAGCAGTGCCATGCAGCTAACATACATTTTGCTATTGAAACGGTATGAAAATGAGGCTTAGTAACAAAGACTTCTTATTTACGGTGTCTAATCTATGCGTACGGTTATGATAAATGTCGCAAATTTCAGATGAAATACATTTTTAAATATTACATTTTTTTTCTTCCTGTGGATTTTTTACAACCAATTATTGTACAATACTCTGTGTCCTTGTCAATCTGATGTCTTTTATTTTTGTTAGTTCATGCGCGGGGTGATTCCCAACTATGGGCTCAAACTGATAAGGATTGTTCGGTGCAGCAATAGACAACATTTGAGTATAATAACTATAAACCAGAGTTTTCTCCAATAACAGCAACATATTTTAATAAAAATAAACGAGTATATTCATTTGAACACAAAACCACTAGCACCCGATTCTACGGTCATAATTCTGAAAATCTTTAAACAAATTTAAAAGACATAGAAAACAATAAATGATTTAAACAAGCTGTGGTCTCTGACATCATGACCGTATGGTCTACAGAAGATAAGGCAGCAACAACAACAAGACCAATTGTGAGCACCATGTATTTTCTGGTACGAGTTTCTATAATCAAATGCCTTCTATTGTTGATCTGAACAATCCTTAGCACTTTCATCCCAATAAAAGATACAATTCTGAATCACCAGGTATTTTGGGTGAATTTGTCACAGAATAGATATTCTATGACCTAAGTTTTCAAAAGAAAATGTTGTCTAATGCTTTGTCA